GCTTTCTTATTAAGCTGCTGTTTTACAATTGTACAACACGTTAGCTAAAACAAAATGATAAGAATTAGCTGTGTAATAACCAATTTGATGATCAACAGTCCAATGTTACTGATGCAGAGTGAAAGCACTGATACCCACGCCATCTTTTAAGATACGCCTTTTATTTTTAGATTCCCTTGGCACCTCTGTGTCACCATTTCTGACCAAGCACACCTCCTTCCTAATTATTCAAACAGTGTTAGCAGCCTAACGCCAGGCAGACAATGGTAAGCAGCCAAGAAAAAGACAATGAGAATATTTACTGATATAGTTTTATAGTGATCGCAGGCCCCTGAACTGAATCGAATCGAACTCGTTGTGGACTTTGTGATATCAGTAAATATTGTATTATTTGTAAAGCATTAATATAATAGCGTATTGTGATGAAAGTTGTCATTTAAACCCCTAATAAAGGAAGGAATTAATAAATGTGTTCAGTTAGATATCCATGCATGCATTTGTTGTGACGATTGACGCTTCGATTTGAAGTTGATCTGATTTGATTGATGTGATGCCATTGAAACACAATATTCTGGTAAAGACTAATACTGTATGGCAGCTGCAATTGCACATCTGGCTGCCGCTTTCAGTACATTTTTTTTACTCATATATCCCAATAAATGTTGGTGCTGCTGATGCAAAATGCCCTCCTGCCCCTCCGGTCATCACAGCCCGGCCCAGAGAAACCAAATCTCTCTCTGATTTGTCCCTGTCTCCCCGTGAGACTCCGCTCAATGACTCCCATCCAGACAGCATTCATATTATTGTCTGAACAACTTCAGAGACTAGAATAAGTTTATGCTGGCTTCATAATTTCCATGCTCTCATCACAAAAGGACACTTGTTTGGGCCTCTTGTCTCTTGGTCATTTCCTTGTTGAGGGTTAAGGGGAGGAGTGGCTCTGTGGACTGTGGCGGCTGACAATCCCACATTGTGTGAACTGCTGCTGCTTCACAAAGGGGCCATTGTGGAGAGCGGTGGCCCGGGAAGAGGGGACTGGGCCTAGGCTAGGTGACGGAGAGGTGTGGGTTCGGGGGGCCTGGGTCTGGGGGCTAGAGCTATGGTGGCTGGCCCAAAGTAGGGGCGTGCACTGGTGCTCAGCTGACACGGTGCTGGGGCAGGGAGGGTGCACACGTGTGAGAGGCGTCCCGTGCTGCTTATATACATACACTGTACTCCTACACAACCACCTATGTAATCTGTGTCTATGTAATCACTCAAATCTTTCTCGGAGGTGAGCAGCTTTATGAAAATAGGTTTTTAATCAGAGCTGTTGTCAGTCTCTGATTTATTTTCTGTGTTTGCGATAATCCGATGTTGTGATTATAAAACTGGGGGCTTAAGCTGCTTGTACAACTGTTCCCAGAATTTGAAATATTTTGCTGTTTATCCTCCTCTGACTCCAGCTCAAGGACAAGCCCACATGTGTGGTGCACTCTAGATTTGTTTACTCAGACAGATGGCCTAGCAGTCCAAAGTCAGAGTCCACAAACCCCTTTTTTTTCCTGCTGCACTGCTGTTCTACTTGACCACCAGTTTGAGACTTAGTCCCCCTTTTCTCAGCCTCTGTCCCCAAATCTCCTTCGTCTCTCCATGTCTGAGAGTGACAGGGCTCTCAGGTCAAGCTGACGCCAGTCTCTCTGTCCAGTCTGAAGCAGGCCTAGGCCCTCTCCCAGCTGTCCCAACGTCTATTTGTCCGTCTGTCTGTCAAACCCGGCTGTTGCCCTGGCCTCTCACCTTAGAGTCAAGAGCTCTTTGGTTGGGGAACATTTTAAAGCCACAGGAATAGGAAGTTAAACCAAAACATGACAACCAACCTACATGAGAAATTATCAATCCATGCTGCCTCAGACTTTTCTCTCACTCTTAGCCTAGTTTAACAAGCCTACTATCCTTGCTCCAATTTGCTGTGCCAAATTTCAGCTGTGCTTTCTGCTACAATAGACAGTGGTCAAAGAGTTGAGAATGAAAGTGACTTTTAACAGTAACGAAGCCAACAGGGCCTCTCATCTGCCTTCAGGGTTGGATCACCACAAACTGTTAACTATTGACTTCTCTGTCCACATTAGAGGCCTCAGTTGCTCTGCTGCTGACAGGCTATGCTTATGCTACACAAATTGGGTCCTTGACTTAGATTTATTTGGTCACCAGCAAACATAAACGCGATACCTTTTAATTTTGTCTCCAGCTCTATCTCCTAATATATTCCGATTTGCTGAGGGCTGTAATTTATCATCTGTGGCTACCTGGTACTTATAGCTTGGAACCACTGTGGTATTTTGGTGTCTATAATTCTGCCTTTATGTTTAGTGCAGTGAAGGTAGGGCGCAAAAGCTGTTCAAACAGTCACCCATGCCCAGTGTGCTTAGTTATGCAGCACCCATTTACTTCATTGAACAAATATAAATCCCTCAGTCAACATAAGATTATCAAGGCTTCTCCCATTGCGCGTAAGTCATTTGGAGGTCACTCTAAGCAAAAGTCAGTTTTCCGAAATAGCAATATTTGTGTGCAAAACAATATTTCCCTTCTGTAACTACTCTCTTTCTGAGAACGCATCTTAACAAGTATTCTGCACTTCAAAAAGCATCATTTTACAAAAACTGACAGCACAACAGGTTCACATGGAGCCTTGCAATGCAATGGACTATAAATAGATTATCTTATCCGTTCCAAGTTGAGCTAGCATGTCTCCATTCATTGCAAATGAGCCGTGCCCACATACAAAGCCACTGTGTGCTTACATAAACCTGCATGTGAAACCTTAAGTCACTGTACACAAAGTAGTATTATTGTGGAAGCCCTGTGGTCACGTTATTTATGGCTGACAGATGGCATCCATGTCAGTGTGCATAGTCGGGTGTACACCTCACAGCTAGGCATCAGACAGATTAAACTCAAAACCGCTCCGTGAACTCATGAACTTTCACTTGTTTATAAATGGAACAGACAATCCTTTTCACAGGTCCTTTCAGGCTCTTTCTAGCGATACAATATACAACACGGCAGTCCAGATTTAGGCTGAGCAATCAACTCTCTGATGTACACTGGCTGTACTCTCATTGTAATGGATGAAATGTGAATAATCTTAAAGCAGAACTGTCTAGTTCATTTGATAAATATTGTAAATTAGTATGATTTTAGGGTGCTTTCACACCTGCCGTGATTGGTTTGGTTTAATCAAACTCAAATTAATTTCCCCCCTAAGTGCAGTTTGTTTGGACAGTTGTGAACACAGCAATCACACTCAGGTGCACACCAAAACAACTGGACTAAGACCTTTAAGAAGTGGTCTCGGTTACAACCAAACTCTGGTGTGGTTCATTTGTGGTGAGATTGTGTTCCGACCTCGATCCGAACCAACTGCAGTCACATTACACATTGTTTGGATTAAACAAGCATGAGCATGTTACAGTCCTGGAGGATTATTAATGTACACCTCCACCTGTACTGCCTTAATATGCAGTACATATATAAAACATTGTTTTCTAGTTGGAGCCGCACCTCGTTTTAAAACTGTATGGTTTGATTAAAATGAACAATGACAGCAATATAGTACACGATGACCAGCGCTAAAATCAGCCTACGAAGTTGCCCCTCCATTGTGACATTAGAAAGTGTCACATTTATCTTGCAAGTGTACTCTTCTTCAACGTTTTGTTTACACCCTGGATTTTCCCCGCATGGAAATTCTGAACAATCAAGAGCAGCTTTCTTATGCAAGACATTTGATCTGGTCCGCTTGTAAATGCTGCTGTGAGAACATGAACCAACTCTAGGCAACTATGCAACTGTGTGACAAATTTAGTCCCTGATTCGGACCAAAGCAAGACAACTCTAGGTCTGAAAGCTCTCTTAATGTCCTTTTGTTTGCACCTGATTCTAGATACCACCCTTTTTGAACTTGTTCAAAAATTTGCCCGTTTGTTTAAAGGCATACTTCACCCCCCCATATGACTATTTGTATATCAATTGGGCACCCTATGTTATGTTGAATTTATGAAGAAAACTTTGTTTTTCTTGCATGCCTCCTGTGAACGAAGAATCCTAAAACAGAGAAAGTATTTGATGAAGAAAGTAAAAGGACTCCGGGTTTAGCAACAGCAAAACTATATCAAAACATATGTTTATAAACTCTCACACAACTACAAGTGCTGCCTCGATCGGTGGTATGTTTGTGTTATTGTGTGACCTTGGTGTTTTTAAGGGTTAGTTCAGATTCACCAAAGTCGCACTGTAATGCAAGCATCAAGGTAGTGTCAGCCTAGCAGCTCCTGTGTTTAGCAAGGTAAAATTACTCTTTTAGCAATGAAGTCTGGCCCCCCCCCCCCCCCCCCCTTTGACTTCACTTCATCAGGAATTTTCTCAGAGTTTGGATTCTTTGTTTACAGTGAAGGCATGCAAAAAAAATCAATAAGTTTTCTTCCTGAATTAAACGTAACACGGGGTAAGTAATTGATATTCAAATGGTCATTTGGAGCGTGAAGTATGCCTTAACAGCTACTAGAAGTGAATCATTATTACTGTGTTGATTATGGACTTTAGCCATGATCGAGTGGCGACTATTAATCAAGCACAATAATGTCATGCTGAGTCCATCAAAGTTGTGAACAACTACTTAATTTCTCCGTCTAAAATCACCCTAATTATTGCTGGAGCAATGCTTTCTTTTTGCAAATGGAGCTAGTGAAGTAAAAAGCTGCATATATAATACAGTTATGTAATTACTCTCATTTTAAATGCTGCAATACATATCACAAGAAACAAAAATATCACAGCGAGCCCTAACAAGAACATTTGCCTGTGCGCAGACTGTGATTATATCAGTGTGTGGTTTGCCAAGCTTGGCAGGAAAATTGATGCCGGGGCGGATTGTGTGAGAAGACAGACCATGTGGAGGGATATGTGGGCACGTCTGTTCACTTAACACTTTATCTGTGTGTCTCTGCTGTGTCCTCCAGCCCAGCACTCTACCCCAGGGTACAATCAATATGAACCAGTGCTCCGACGTCATCGATGGAGAGTCCAGAACGGGTCAGAAGAACTCGCTGTGCATCCTGACCCCTGAGAAAGAGCACTTCATACGGGCTGAGTGTAAAGAAATTATCAACGGGTAAGACATGATAACCAGGAACCTGTTATTGTTATCTGCCATCATGTCTTCATTTATATGACATAGAATAACTGCCTCAGGTGGGCAGTACTATTTGTGTTGCTCTCTGTTTTGATTTGAGTGGACTGGGATGACAGACTCTTGGACAAGGGAGAATAGTTGTGCGCAGCTGCCTTTGCTGCCAAAACTGCTCTGCCCCCTGCTGTCTCCTCTGGGCCGTGCTTCTCAGAGACTTGTAATCCACACTGCAGTGACAGTGCACATTCTTGAACTGTTCCCTCTTCCTGTGCTCACACAGACGCAGATCACAACACACAAGCTTTAAGCCTCATAATTCGGTTGTCTCTTGTGCCCCTCCTCCACTGCTGCACATTTAAAGTGAGTGTCTGCACTGTACCCTCGCTCCCCGGCTGTAGCATACATATTATGGCTATTCTTAGGAAACTGTGACTCACAACACCTACACTCTGTTATGCTACCTACTCTATCACTGCACACCTCCCACTCGCCCATCATCTGGCCCCCATGTGTTAGTTCTTGGCTGTCACACCATCATATTAGCCCTCGCAGAGGTTGCCATTACCTGCCAGTGATGTAACAACCAGGATTTCTATAAAATGTATTATTTTGTGTGTTTGTCCTGGGTATGTGAAGTTCCTTACCAGTGACATTTGTTTCATTATGTTACATTATTGAAACAGTGCTGTGTGTGGGCACTCATTCATCATCACTGCGTCACATGTTCCTGTCTACAGTGTGACACTCACACCAAAGGTTTTCACTCTTTACAAAGTGGGTGGAGTAGAAAAATACTTCATAATGCGTGAGTGTTGGGCACCATCGTCACTTACTTGATTATTCTAATCCTAAAAGAACCAGGGGTTTCTGTGTCACACGCAGTCCTATAATTTACAGTTGCATGAGGATTGGTGTTCACCCTGACAGCTTTATATTAGTTGGTTCCAAGATCAAAAATCGAGGTCAGTTGTAGTTGTATTTTATCTTCTTAATCATTCTTATCTTAGTCAGTTTTTAGTAAACTAAAACACTTAAGAGTTCAGTCTTGTCTCAGTCAAAGATAACCATGAACACTTTAGCTCTAGTAAAGACCATGTATGAGGATTCTAGAAACTTCAGCAAACTGCGTCTAGTTTAGAATTCATCCAAATGATTTTTACAGATACACATACATTATCGGCTTGTGTGGACGTAGAATAATGGTGTTACAGTAGTGTGATGGCACAGCAGCATTAAAGAGCTGTGAGTGTGGGAGTATTATTTGTGCTGCTGTGTAATGTATTTATGCTTTTCAAACATGATTCTTAACTAAATCCACCTTGACTAATTAGATGATAGTGTCCTCATGAATGGCCTTTTAGTACAGAGCATAAACACACACAGGGAAAAAAGGACATACCAAGGAAAATCAAATATGACCATACAGGCCTTAGGATGCTTTGTGTCAGAGGATAATTCACAATATTTCAACTTTTGCTAAAAGAGAAGCAAATTACCTGGGAGCTGTTTAAATGTATAATTTGTGGTCAATCTTATTTCAGCATATACTGATTACATCACTTGCCCACTGCCCCCACTGTTGCTTTATTAGTTAGACAATGTACGCTACAGTTATACAGTTATAAACTGAAAGTGTCACAGAGTCGCAGCACAAAGTAGCAGGAATCAGATTTCACTTACGGGGAGTTGATCGACAAGACGATGACGGAGGATTTGGTGTCATAGCGAAAAATAAAAGCACCTGTTTGGCACGATTTTGAATTTAAACCCAATGCCAATAGGGAACCTGATAAAGTTAATAAGGGTAAAGGAGGTTTACATCACTAAGAAGTAGGGTTGCAGAGGTATATTATGAAACTATGTACCATGGTATGAAAATTGTCCATCATCATACAGTGTATGTTTATTTACAGTATTGAGGAAAATGCAGCCGGATGGAAAATCTCATCTATGCGTACACATTGGCCTGATCCATGACCCCTTGCATTATTTCAAACCGATTCGCTGTCAACGACAGTGTTGTAACGACTTTTGTTACACCAGTTAAATGTGAAGCTGCAGCAGTAGAAATGTTGGGTTAGCATCAGCAATAGCTTAATTCAGCATGCTACAGATGATGTCATCGACAATTATCTTTTTTTTTTTTTGTAGATTGTCCGGTGTAATTGGTAACACCAGTGTTCTCACAAATTTATTAACCCATGGGAAAATTTTCCTCACTGTGGCGCTCCTTTAATGTAGTTGTATTTTCTCTTAGTAATATTAGGTCATGCACATGCTTGTCCTGGCAAGTATAATGGTTTGTAGTTTGCTGCAGAGAACTTTGATCCAGTCCTATATTGATCCACCATGGGTGCAGGGTTTGTATGGTCTGTATTTTGTGTCCCAATAACAACACTTTGACTGTTTGTTGAAGGTGGCAGGAGGCCTTGACTGTATACCCCAGGACCAACAAACAGAACCAGAAGAAAAAGCGCAAGGTTGATCCACCCACTCACCAGGTAACACTCCTATTCACACACTCCTCAGCGAAGTGCTCTTACCTTTCTCACACTGAACAAAGTGTGAGCAGTGTGCAGCCAAATTCAGAGGAAGGTCATGTGTGGTATTTTTGCTCGATGATGATATATTTTATCTCCTGTGTATAGATAATAGCAGAGAATATGGAGAGGATGATGTCACACACTTAAGTGAGAATACAGATGAACAGTATTTTAAGGTCATTAGCCTTAGGTGGTTAAATGAATTTGGTCATATCGTGTGCAGCAACAATTCTGATGCAAATCTTTTTTGGTATTTGCTCATTTGACATCATCTGAAGTATTTCCAAATGACAGATAATGAGCCAATGTTTGGGATAAGATGAACATTATAAATGTGGCAGTCGTGCCATCGCTACATCAAAGAAAGGACATACATATATTTAAAGACAACATGTGCCGTGGAAGTATGCGGTATGGAGGCTTCTCATTCCACTCAAACTACACAAGCTGTTTTCCCCCCGAGAGAGAAAAGACAGAGAGAGATGTATTGTTTTTTTGCCAGCAACATGATGAACAGTTTATGCTTTCCATATTTGCATTCTTGAGTCACATGATGAGGCAGTCTCAATAAACGAATAGACGGCACGCCACGTACTCCTAAATTCATCTATACTTCCAGAGTAAGTTGTCGTTTGAAGTGTGAATTAAAAGTGTACACGTTGTCAGCTATTCTTCTGCAAGTAATACTTGAAATATGTTTCCAGCAATTCCATTTTGTTTTTATACATATAAAACAGGTGACCTACTTTTAATATTTATACAGTATCACCTGGTAAGAGGGCAGCAAACAGAAGTGAGCTATCAAAATATTCCTTAGCAAACAATCAAGGATAATGATGACAGCTGTCTGCTAAAATAACATTCAGCAGCAACTTTCAGCAGCGTGACCATGATCCTCTTGCTTATGAATTTGCTGGCGCGCTCTGTTTCTTTGTCACGTGGAGCAGCTGCTGTCTCACCTGCCAGGCTTTTGCCCCGAGTCCTGCCCGTTCGGTCATTAACCTTGTGCGGTCAAAACAGATTTTGTTTTTCTCTAAGTTGACGCTCCTAGTCAGAGAAGTCAGATTCAGGGCTTCAAATTAAAGTCTGTAAGAGTGTCCTTGATCAACACAGTCTAAATCCCTCCACTAAACACTACAAACTAAAATATCAGATTTTAATAAACATCACCTGTGTGCTCTGTTAAAGTGCGTGAATGCAGGAGTGTGCAACAGCTGAAGATACTCAATAGGAATGGGTCAGTACCTTGTGAAGAAGAATTCATAGTTCATTGCTCTTTAAAGGGGAGTACTTGCATTATACTGCTATTATTTTGTCTAGAGGTCGACTGATGGTGGATTTTAATGGCCGATATATAATACCGATAGTTTGAAGAAGGAAAATCGATACCCAATTAATTGGCTGACAGAATAAAATGATTTTTATGTGGGACTTTATGCCCCGACTGCACTTGAACAGTGTAAGAACAGCATTAAGAAGCTTTGAGAGACAGCTATTGTGGGGAGAAACTGACTGAAGACAGGTCCCTTATGACATGAGCGCCACTAAACAGCCTTGTGGTAAAATCAGCTGTTTCCCGGGAGTCACATTTTATATCACCAGAAAAATGCGACAATAATATCGTTTATCGCAATTTTTTTGCGACAAAATATCGTCCACTAAAAGTAGTTATCATGAGAGGCCTTTACTTTACATCACCCCTGTTTTTAAATTTACAGTGCCATGAATTGTGACTGAAATCCTTAGAATGGCTCAAAATGTTCATGAGGTATTGTACAAACGTTTTCTGATGTCAAACTGGGACTGTAGACTTATTTAGAGTGCATGTCAAAGTCTGTGGGTCTGTAAACATGGACTTTGGGACTTGAATCCCCTTAAGTGCTGTTCATTAGCTGACTTTCCACATTGTCTGCCCTGCAGAGGAACCTAGACAGATAATTTCCCTCTGGAGACCGATGTGTCTAGAAGGAATCTATTAATAAATAAAATTATATTAAGTATATCTACACAAAATTTAGCAGCTAGAAAACAATACAAGGTGGCATTCAGCAGTCTGAGAGCCAGATGAGGAACGTCATTCAAGCCATGCGTGTGGCATCCATTAGAAACACGATGCTCATAGGGAATAAAAATGCTCTTTTCATGTCGGTGCAGTCAGATCTCTCCCTGGTAGGTAGAAATTAATAACAGGACTAGGTAAAGCTTTATTACCATTATAATGGTTATATATTATATCATACAATACAGGACAGACCACCCAGTGCAGGATACAGCTTCCCCCCCTTCCCTACCTCCTTTTTGATGCGAGGCCAAATTTGTATCGAGTGCACACAAAATTCTCTCTGAAGTTCATTGTCTGGTTCCTCTAATGACGGCGCCCCTGAATCAGACTGTGACCTTGGCAGGCCCACACTAACAGGCTCATTTGCAGAGGGATGGTGGTGACACAGCTTTGACCTTGACTGTGTCCCACGTGACCTCTGATGTTAATGCCTTGCTGTCTTTGTTGCTGTTTTTATTAACATAACTTTCCTGTGTAGATGAGTGTACCTGCTATAAACTGTGGTTGTATTTTATCTCAATAAGTTCCTGATATCCAGATACAGGACTATTTTTCTTGCATGTGTGTGAAACGAGCATTGCTTGAAATAACAGTCAAGGCCAAGCCACATAATTAGGGCTGATAATGTGTGAGGGTGATTATGCTTTCACTGCTTGTCTAATGTCTGTTTCTATCATTGCCTCGTGGGCTGTTCGGTTGTTTTTGGATGGAAATGTGATATAGATTGTCACAGATAAATATCCACAGTTGCCTCACGTTTCCACCTGAAAGCTCTCCTCCTCCCACCGAGACTCAAGTTACCGGAGACATACGCAGGAAACTGTTGTAAATACTTGAGCACTGTAACATGTTTGCTTTCTGGGTGGTGCCCCTAAATTAAAGCACCTGACCTTGAGCACAAGAAAACTATATGACAGGAAATGTACTTGTCTTTCATATTGAGAGAAGTTTTACTTTCAGATTCCTTTGTTGGCTCTGCAGCAGCAAAAAGCTTGTAATAGTGCTCTATGTCATAAATTTGCACATCTAAAAACGATAGTTCAAATAACACAAGAAAGTATGAAAGGCAGATTTTTGGGTCTACCTGTACTGATTATAAATCAGTACCACATAGCAAGCATTAACATCAAAGGCTTTTTGTGATTGGCAGGGTGGAGAAACTGCAAGCCAGTGTTTTTCCACTGAAGACATGAATGGACACCCAGTGAGTTCAGCTTGGCCGAACTTTCTTTTATCCTGCTTCACCCTTAGCGGCTTTGAAATCCCAGCCCTAATGAATTCTATTTATGAAAAATCCCGATCAATCCAGGTGAAGGTGTGAATAAAAGAACATGCTTCTTACTTCTCTCTCCGATACTGAAAGAGTGATTCTTAGCACAGCTGCATGTTTGTGGTGATTAAAGTAGGCTGGCTGAGAAGCTGATGTTGAGGGACGCTTTGCTTTGGAAATCTTGCTTTCCCCTCTTATGAATTCAGATGATCTTGCGTGTAGGGATGTACAGATCTGACTTTTGCAGTCCCGATACAGATACCTGGGCTTTGGTTATCAGACCATACAGAGTACAGATCTGATGCAGGTGTTGTATGCTTCACGGTGTGGAGGTGACTGGGATCATTCCTATATGTGTCAGGCTTGTCTTACACATTGCTCTCCTAACTTAATAAAATAAAATGTAACGAATAAATACAAAGATAGAAATAAATAGGAATGAAATTAAGCTTTTTCAGTCGGTATCAGCCCAGTATCTGATATCAGTATTGTATCAGTGCATTCCTACTTGTGAGTCTGCTGATTACCATAAGGGCCTTCAGTACATACTGGTGACATCAAACTTTGAGCACAACAGCAATGAGTGTTTAAATTTGTCTGCTTTTTGTATTCAATAATCAGATGGCAATTATTTTTATCCCACGAATCCTATTCTGCTATATTACGCCTCTGCAGACTCTGTTTTTCTGTTCTCTGTATCCCTCAATGATACAGGTGTGTTTGGCATAAATTAACTCTTTGTTTAATGTCAAGCTGTCAATCTCGTTCTCCTTTCCACACGTCCTCCTCCTCTCTCCCCAGACTTTGTCGTTGTGCCAATGATGAAAGCAATTTTATCACTTTGATGTTGGATGTGCTTCACAAATACACATAAAAATCCAAGAAGCCAAAAAAGCAAAAACAGACCAATGATGAAATTGTGTGCCACTGAACACCACGACTCTGATCATTACCTCTTCAAATTAAAGCCAGAGGATTACTGTGCTGTGCAGAAAGCTTATTTTCACTGTTGAAAGGACCATAAGTGACTCATAAGTGAGACAACATGGTGTAGTGATACAGTGCTGTCGTGATTGGCTCATGATTGGACACCACTGCAGATGAGAGTCGGTGTACAATGGAGCACATTAACATAAAGAAGGATTTAAAGAACCAACGTGTAGGGTAGACCCTCTCTGTCAGTTCTGAGCTACTGTAGAAACATAGCATGGCAACATGGTGGACTCACAGGAACAGGACCTGCACCCTATGTAGATATGAAGGGTTTTTCTAAGCTAAAGAAAACACGTAGGTCTTAGTTTCAGGTGATTATACACGAATGAAAACATAATTATGAGTATTACATTCAATTTCTGCAAATAAACCCCCCTAAATCCTGCACCCTGGTCCTTAAAAGAAAATCTATTTTCCTCCTTCGTTTCATGTTTACTTGTCAGTGTTTAATTGCTCTTTAATCTCTTTCCTCCTCGTACTCCTTTTTGTAGTCTCTCTGTGACCTTACCTCCCATTATGTCATCTCCTCTTCCCATCCACTCCTTTCAACCCAAACCCTCACCCAGGAGCCCGGCCCCGCTAAGGTGACAGTGACCAGCAGCAGCAGCGGAGGAAGCATCCCTTGCCTGCCCAGCAGCATTGCCAGTGCCGAGCGCGTCCCGATGAGCCGTGCCACTCTGTGGCAGGAGGAGAGCCGCTGGAGCAGGGCCACCATCCCCTGCAGCCGCAGTGCCTCCTGTCTCAGCCAGCTGGGCCAGAGCCAACCAGACTCCACTATCACTACTCAAGACGGTGAGGACTGAGATGACGGCATATAAATGCCTCAACATCCTGTAGGAATGCTTCAGCTGTTTCTTGATGTTAGATAAGGACAACTGTGTCACTTTAAGTTTGTTCATCATAGCTAACATAAAGGCAATGTCACATGTCTTGTCTCACATGTAGTTAACTTTCTCAAACTATAAAATCAGCTGTGACCTGGGCTTAAGCATAAGCTCTTTTCAGGCACTTAGCCAACAGCTTTAACTGTTTGGGTAAATAGTGACTTATGTAACTATGTTGACGAGACAGTATTTTGTGGTATACAACAGATACGTAATGTATGTTCCCACTTGGCACTTCCCACCGACTATACACAAACTGATGTATGTGGCATTGTGTCCTTGCTTCAGATGGTGGCACCATGAGCACCGGACGCAAGGTACGAGTGGAAAGTGGTTACTTCTCCCTGGAGAAGACCAAGTCGGAGCCTTCTCCACAGTCTGCACAGCACTCTCAGCCACCCACGCATCTGCCCCTGTCCTCTTCACCATCTTCCTCCTCCTTAGGAGCTCTCAGTCCCAGGTACAACTCTGAGCCCGAATCACAAACTTCCCCTTTTCAACCCTCCCAAGATCCTCTCCCTTCTCCAGGTGCACTCGTTTCCCCCAGCTACTCCACCATCAGCTCCTCCCAGAGCTCGCTGGACTCCGAACCCAGTGGGAGTACACCCACCTGGGAGGGGCGCAGCGGTGGTGGAGGGAGCACCGGTAGTGTCAGTGGTGGAGGAGGCAGAGTGGGCCGGCCTGGAAGAGAGTACGCAGCCCTGTCTGATGTGCCACGGGCTCGCAGACTGAGTTACCGCGAAGCCTTCCGCTCAGAGAAAAAGCGCCAAGACCTGAGGGCACGGACACGGAGTCCTGGCAGAGAGGAGGTGGCCCGGCTGTTTGGGGAGGAGCGAAGGTAAGAGGTTAATGGGTTAGAGTCACGATTGGCACACCTCAAAACAGATTCTACAGAGACATTTTAAGTTGCATATCTCTTAGCAGAGGCACACGTGCAAATTCACTTGTGATTATGATGGCAGCCAAACATGATTAATAATCATTAATGAGCCACTGGTTGTTTGCCCTTGGCAGAGCCTTAAAACATAGATAGCATGCCAAGTAATCTATTATGTGAGGCTCATACATTGCTCAAAGCACTTAGCATTGTAGTTGTGTAGCACCACCCTGTGGCAACTGTCCTCAAGGCACTCCTATATCTTGAACATCTTTTGTTATTGCTGCCACCCCTACCAGTGGTTTGCTGTTAATGATTTGGGGATTGAAATGCACATTTTACTTTCTTTTCTATTGATCTCTACCTTTTGCCCTTGCTACTTTTGCTAGTTTGTTTTGTCGTTTCAATCTTTTCCAGGGGCTACTGAACAGAGCTTCTCAGCGCTAATGCTCAACCAACCCCTCCACCCCTGTCCCAATGCTGTTCCCTGCTGGTCACCGCTGATTCCTGCTTTCTATCATTTCATCTCTGCACTGCCTGGGAGCATACACACACACTGTTTCATATATACCTGATTTATTGTATATACTGTGCATACTTAAACATACTGGTGGTTGGCACTGATGGTGGGTTTACATACAGTGTGATATCATCCTTTCTCATGCAGAGACACACACACACATTAACAAGTGCAGAGCCTGAAGGTAACGCTGACTGTGTTGCCATTGCTGCTACTCCTTCAGTTTGTTTAATCCACCATCCTAGTCATTTTCCTTTCCCTCTAAAGTTTAATCTCTCGTCATATAACACCTAATCTTTATTCTTTGATGTATCTCTGGATTGTTCTCTTTGGGGATATTATCTTTACTTGCACATTGCTGTCTATGAAAGGGACTTTGAGTCTAGAATGATGTCCAAAGTCAAACACTCTACGTATTGTATGTCTGTGTTGTGCAGTAATGGCAGCAGTGCATTCTGTGCACAACAAATCGAAACTACACATACGGACATTGATTTTGGCTCAAATTTGCTTTCATGTCATGCTTTGGTCTTGTTTTAATGCGGATTCTGCCAACATTTGAGGATGTTGTGCTGCAAAATGCCATTTTTAAAGAATTATTGAGATATTTAACCCACTGTGAGAAGGGACTTTTATGTTGATGCTGTATGTACTGTGTATTGAGTATGTCTTTGAAGAGAACGGTCCTTTTGTGTCTCTTAGGCGTTCTCAAATCATTGGCCGATTCGAAGAGGGTCAGCCTGTAGAGCGCATGGACACAAGCAGCTCCAATGAGCCTTCTGACAGCACCACGCTAATCCAGAGACAAGGCCGCAGCGAGAGACGCTATCTGGCTAATAAACATGTATGCTATTCTGCTATTCTAAACCTAAAAAGGTGTTAAATACTAAAAGAATTCACTGAACTGCATATTTACAATACAGTGAGAGTAAGACACAACCTCCTTACTTTATTAGGGGTTACTTTTGATTTCTAATACTGATTTTCTATTTACAGGAGATGTCACTGGATGCCGGCAAGGACCGCTCAGTCCCTGATGTGTCCAGCTCCACTTTTGCTAATTTAAGAAGAGCCAAGTCACTGGACCGCAGAGTCACCGAGTCCTCAATGACTGTGAGTATTGACAGCACCTTTAAAGTGTGTAGGGGCCATAACCAGTGGATTACACAACCATGTCAAGATCCCATCCAATATGTTTGTGGTTCAAGATTCAAATTCAGTGCAGAGAAAAGAATGTGATCCCTCACCACCTTCCCACCCATAGTTAGTTAGTTAACCTAATGTCAGATCAACAATGTCAGCCAGGTTTGTTCCCGTTGTTTTTTTTTTGTTTTTTTTTTTGGTTATAACATTAAAGAGGTTTGGAAAGGGACAAATATGTTGGTTGCTAACATATTTTTAAGATTATGTAAATTGTCATTAGCCAAAATGATAAAGGCTAACATTCCGTTGCAAGGCTTCGTGCCACCCTGAAATAATTTTTGGTGTCATTTACTTGGATATCCACAAGGCCTAGCATCCGATCATAAATATCCTTCCATCACATACTGTAGGCCTTATCTAATATACACTGTGGCTCCCAGCTAAACAGAACCTCTGTCACCATGTCTCTTTTTTTTTGTCAGACATTTCAACACTAACTAAGGGGTGCGGGACTTGGTATTTGTCAATTATGTTCAGTAGAGCACTTCCATAAACAATGCAGCAGAGGCTGCCCTGGTGGTTTGTTTTTCTCTCTCGCCACATAAACCAACTTTTTTCTAACAAGCACTGCTCAGGAAAATGACAGTACGCACTGGTCAGCCATAAAGTCAGCGCACATAATTAAACTTCAATTACGCACGCACCCAAACACAACTAGTGACTCCACATTCAGCCGCATAAACAATATCAAATTAGCAGTTGTTTTTCTCTGGTCGTCATAAGTGAGATTAAAGTAGCCCCAAAGTTGCTTAAGGTTGCACTCGTATCTTCCTGACGTCTGACTCCTACCAGTCTGACACACTGCTACTGATCTGAGGTCTGCGCAGTGCTGCGGGGGTGATCCCAGTCAGTGTGTGGTTGGTCTCTCCGGCCGAGCTGCAGCTGCCAGAACCCCCGCCCACTCCAACACACACACACACATTCATGTACACACCACTGCCGCCACCGCTACTGATGATTATAAATAGCCAGCACAGAAGCAGCCGCAGTCGTGCGTATGTCCCTGGGACTGACGGAAAGAAACAGATTGTTAACATATGAAGTGAAGGCAGTTAGCCATCAGAATGACTCTCTGCCAGGCGGTGACCCCACACCTGATGAAGCTCAACAAAAACAAGGTATTGTTGAGTGAGCAGAGGCCAGGTTTGGGACGAATGATTTACTTTAGAGTCTATAAACAGACTTGAGTTTGGTTTCAATGTGCAGCAGAGTTTGTGTTTCACAGGGAAAGTCCAGCTCCCGCCAGGCAGTCTCTTTAGTTAGAGCCGCATATCTGCACTTATACTTCGTGAACTGAAGCAATGACCTTAATGTAAACAAATGCACATACACGCTGTATTGTGTAGGGAGATTTCAATTATATATTCTGATGAAATAAGTGATGAATGCTCGCTTAGTGAGGACTTCTAATATGGTGACAAATTACCACAAAATGTTTCAACAAAATATGATTGTTTTCCCCTTTTTTCTATTGATGTGATCTATTGATTAATGTTTTTTTAAAATCAGTCCTAAATAGCAGCTGAATTTCCTTTTATTGATTGTAGATGAATTAATTTGGCTGCATCACATGATATCACATCACTCTAATCTGTCTCGATTGCAGCCAGATCTGCTGAACTTCAAAAAAGGATGGATGACAAAGCTGTATGACGATGGAATGGTAATTAGCTCCCATTAATAGGATTAAATGATGTCTGCTTCTAGTGAAAAAGATCATTTACTCATAAAGGACTGGTGAAATCTAATTAATGTTGTCTTTTACCCCTTAGTGGAAGAAACACTGGTTTGTCCTGACAGATCAGAATTTGAGGTACTACAAGGACTCAATAGCTGAGGAGGTAAAACATGTCTTAAAGAGACTTTTGACAGTTGTTTTGAATGAATAGTTGGTTAACAAGGGCATTTTTGTTGTCTTTGTTTTGTCTTTTTCTCCCTTAGGCTTCAGAACTGGATGGTGAGATTGATCTCTCTACGTGTTACGATGTCAAAGAGTTCCCCGTCCAGAGGAATTATGGTTTCCAGATCATGGTGAGTCTACATGTCATCGATTGTCTCGCATCATTCATCACGAGTGAAGATGAAATTCATTGTCCACACATTTGAGCTTTGCTGCCTCCTGACAGTCTATAAACAGCCTTGGACACCATGTGGGTCAACGTTAGGTATCAGGTTTTGTCTTTCTGAAACCATTCTTTGTCTGTCGTGACGGATGTCACTTGACTTGTCATCTCTCTGTGAGAGGCTGACATCATGGTGGTCTAAATTGGCCACAGCCGTTGCCAGCCCTGCTTGTCTCTCTGAACCCATGTGCCCCTCATCCTGCACAATATGTTTACCTCACCTCTTGCATTCAGAAGCCCTGTCCTTGTCCACATTTGCTCAATAACACTCAAGTTTTAAACCCATAAGTGCATAACAGTCGCGCTGTCCTATGGATCCTGCTGTGAACCCTAGGAGGGAACTACACTTACTTTCATCATGTAATCCTTTGGCCATCAAACATTTTTAGCACTTGTTGCTGGCAAAATACTTACCGGACGCATATAGTCTCAATGCAGTTCAATCGTTATCCATTTGATGTCAGTGTGGGTTTTGTTCCTGCTACATATAGATTTCAACCTGCCATGATAATCCTGCAGGAGGAGACAGAAACTACAAGGTCATGTCTTTTGTTTACATTTGCTTGGAGCAGCTTCCCCCAGCTATTTTCTCTGGAGGAAGTCAGAAATAGAGGAGTGGAGGGGATCGTTGTCTCTTTGGCTGAGAACGTGGGTTTGGTGACGAGAAATTAATAACTCCAGTATTTATGTCTACTCCCTCTGCTCCATGGTCAGACTGGGAGGGGCTGTTAATCTGTCACTGCAGTTAAAGCAGTGAGTGGAATGAAGTACCTGGTTTGTGAAACCCCATTACTGTGTAGTGATGGAAATTGATTTTGCTTCTTGGTCTGATTGTTTATTGATGCCCTTATTGATTTCTGATCAGTTTCTATGTGGGGAAAAATAGGCCTGAACAGGTTTTCAGCATCTCTCTCTCTCTCTAAAGTCCATTTAGAGAGATGTTTCGGCATCATTTTGTTGCAATGCGCAACCGTCAGAAAAACAAGCCAACGTCGATAGAAGGAAATGATAAGCTTGGAGGCATACGATCCTGATGAATGAGACAGTTTGGAACAGGTTATTGATTCCCATCCCTAACTCAGAGGCTGTAGTGAGTAACTGTGTTCATGTAGGCATCACTTTACTTCCACTAGAGGTCACTAAATGTACGATTTAATTTAAATGTTCTGGACGTAAGGTAAAGCTGAGTTACAGAGTCATTGAGTGCAGGATACCTCTGTCTAAAGGGAGATTTCTACTGCTCAGAACAGTTCTCTAAAAGTTGAAATCTTTTTCAATATGGGGCACCAAGAAGACAGACATCAGCTAAATGTAGCATTGTGATGCAATAGATTAGTATCAGAAGCAGTTGCGTGTAAAGCACCAGTTCACGCCCACCCTGAACTGCACTCAAGCTTCCTAAAATTGTGACAGCCTGAATGCTCAAGGGTACTTGGTCCTTAGAATAAGAGCAGGAACACGTTGTTTTCCACATAAGATAAATGATTTAACACACAGTTTTTGCAAATGGTTGGACTTTTTGTTTGTGGCAAAGGGGGTCAAAAATGTGGCAAATTACATCTAACAGTGGTATGTAGATTTGATTACACAGTACACATTAAACTGAAACTTCCCCTGTTACTTTCGTCACTAATCTAGATGGTGTTAACATTGTGGGTGTAGTGACAGTCTAAAAATACACGTCTTCTCCTCAGCTTTGTGTTAGTGTGATGTTTTGATGTTCTGCTTTCAAGCGAGCTTTCGAACCCCCGAGCTCAGTGTGGTTTAACAACACAGCAAAGTGAAGCAAAGGAGAAGTGAGGCCAAGAATGTATTTCTCATTTCACAGTTTTTTCTACAGCTGATGAAACTGCATTCTGAGTGTGGTGCAGGTGGCTATCTGAGAAATGACTGACAAGTTTCTCTCTCAAAATGTACTCCTTAGCATGAGAGGTATTCTCCGTTAAAGCTACTTTACAAAAACAGTTATTTTATGGAAGTTGCTGAAGGATATTTAATACAGTAAATATCAATCTTCTACTCACCTCTGGTTTCTAAGGTGGCTGAGATGTTTCAGACAAACCCCATATCAAAAATGCTTTTGAAATTTGAAAAGCACAAGCTCATTAACAGAAAACACAAACGCAAAATCCACAACAGTGACTGTCAACAGATGATCCGAATGAAATGGCTGACTATTATTCCATTAATACTATTCATATTTACGTACTCTGCCATCTAACGTGGTTGCCAAATGTGGGTCGCGGGTCCATTCTGAATGGACAGCGAGTGACTTGCGAATGTGTCTAGTTTGTAAAAAACACACCTTTTTTTGAAGTACTTTAAATTGTTGGGTACAGAGCTTTTTTTTTTGAAGTGCTGTTCTCTGCTTTTGGCTGAATGACGAACAGACAGCTACTTGGAAGAGCTAGCAAACTACTTCAAGGACACGGCCAAACACAATTATGACGCTGATTGTATTAAACTGCTTGAACTAATGACTGAGGAGAAATCTGGACCCTGTGGCTGGACCAGTTGGGAACCAGTGACCTAAGCTATACCTGTGTATGGAGACCATAGCCATATTAAGGGTGATTTATGGTAGGTTGTCCAACACATTTGATAAGCGGGCAGGTTGTCCACCAATCTGAAGATCAGCGGTTCAGTCTTCAACTTTTCTGTCCACAAGTCAATGTATCCATGGGCAAGATACTGAACCCAAATTTCTCCCGATGACTGTGTGAACGTTTAACTTATGAACAGGTGGCACCTTGTATTTTAGCTTTGGCCTCTAGTGTGTAAATGTGTGTGTGAATGTGTGAATGTGACATGTAGTGTTAAAGCTCTTTCAGTGGTTGGAAGGCACTGCCAGTACAATTCCATCCATCCATTTTCCCAGTGTTACATGACGGAAATGAAACAGTCGCTTGTCATTTCCAGTTCATGCTTCAGTGAAAGATTTTAAGTCATCTCCATGGTAACCAGAGACCCATTTTTATAAATATGAAAATATAAAGACATCACGTGCCCCCTAAGTGGGCAAGAACTTCTCTCTTACACATATGTATGTAATAATAGTCGGGTTTTGCATTTCCGTTAATGCACTTGTGTTTTGTCGAATTTGCAAAGTGTTTTTAATGTGCAGTTCATTTGATGCATCTTGGCCACTGTAGGTTACAGTCAGTAAAAGAAGAGCAACAAGTCTTTCTCCTGAACCAGGACAGCCTTGCATTGTCGATGCAATTCCACTGCTGCACATCATCTGTTTTAGCCCTGTACAAAAACACATGCTTTGTTTTTTTTTTAGTGTCAAAGTGTCAAAAAGGTATTTTAATCGACGTGCTGTCTCATCGCTGTCAGTCATTTGAATGAAATGCCTTTCTGTTTTCAGTGTAAAGAGGGAGCGTGCACCCTGTCAGCCATGACCTCTGGAATCCGTCGCAACTGGATTCAGGCCATCATGAAGAATGTGCGACCCACTATTGCCCCCGATGTCACTCGGTAATACCCAAAGAGGATTAACACTTCAACCACTGGCAGATATAACTACTGCTTTTCTCACTTATTTTATTTTAATCCCTCTCTCCTCCTCACCTTCTCTTCCTTTCTTTCTCCTCCTCCCTCGACCGGTATTTTCAACCTGCTTCCAGGAAAAACATCTCTCTGAAACTATCCGTTCTGAAGCCCAGGTTGGAGTACTTGTGTGTTGAATATCCTCCCCCCCCTCCTCGAACAGTGATGTAATTGCTCAGCAATGTCAGCCCCAGCGTGTCTGTCGTCCCACCCTATGTCATGTGATTGTTGAGTAATGTCTCCCTGTCAGTTGTGCTACTGTAGAGACACACGCTGCAATCACATCAACATACTAGAATAACCCACCTGACCTTCTGTGGATCAACAGCAGAGAGTGATTTAATGATCATTGTAGTGTGACTGTCCACTCAGTAACTTTTGGAAATGATCACAAAACAACAACAAAATCACAACTGCAGCACAGACAGAAAAGCTTTGAGTGAATGGAGAGAAGAGCTGGGATATAAAGGTCTATTCTTTATCCTTTAACTGTTCCAAAACAACTGTTTACCTGAGGATTTTTATCTACCTTAACATTTATTTTTGTGTTTTTCAAAGCTAAGTATTGCCTTTCAGATAGCTGATCACACCTGATACTGTATACATACACTGACCCGCATTTACTGAGTCACACACCTTTGCCAGTGTGTCTCTTTGACAGCTCTCTTTAAGGGGAGAATGTGTGATATCTTTGGTATTTCTGTCAAGACGCCTCACAGACACCTCTTTCTCATTCTGGAGCTCTGCCCCATCTCATTTTCCCCTCCTGACACCTCTACACATGTTGTGGTCAAAATAGATTAGTCGGGTCACTTTTTTAAAAAATGCTCTGCCCCTCAACATGACAAGTGCTGATCAAAGATATTATTCATGTCATAGATGCAGTTGGTATCTTTTATTTTTAAGAATTGTCATATTCGCTGAAATTGTCATTATATCTAGAGAGTAGAACATGAAACAGTCTCTAGAAAAAGATCCTCACAGTGCTTCTAATGGCATTTGCAAGAATCTACCATGGCAAGGCATGAAGAAAGAAGAAGGCAATGCAGAATCTTCATATTCATATTTGATCAGCACTGACTAGTTTGACACTCTGACCGCAGTTCATGAGCACTGATTGACATGATTCACAGCTGCATTAGAGACTCCTCACCCCTGATTGGTTGTTTTACCCAGTGGATTCTTTCATACAAGAAATGCAGCACAAAGTGCTTTTACAATAGAGTAGTATAAGCGTTGAGTGGTTTACATGAAAATGGAAGTAATGGACAACAATGGACTTGTTGCAGCAACGTCAAGCGTAAATAGAAAGTAAAAAACGTAAAAAGAAAATGTTTCAGACCTGTATGAGGAAGTCAGATTCGTTTTTAGCTTTCTTTTAAAAATATTTAGTGAGCTAGCTTCCCTGATATCTACATGTGGTGTGTTCCACAGCTTTGAGGGGTAATTGACAAAGGCTGCATCCATGATCTTCTTCCGACTGTTGAAGGGAACCTCCAATAAACCAGCAGCAGATGATCGCAGTGTTCTTGAAGACAAATAGTTAACAAGGGAGTTAGCAATGTAGCTTGGTCCTAGCCCATGTAGGGCTTTGTATACAAGGAGGAAGAGCTTAAAATCAATTCTAAATCTAACAGGAAGTCAGTGCAGAGCAGCTCAGACTGGCCTGATGTGCTCTCTCCTCTTGGTTCTGGTTAATAGCTGAGCTGCAGAGTTTTGAATGAGCTGACGTCTCTCAGTGGTGCGTTTTGGGAGGCCAGTTGTGCATTACAGTAGTCGAGGCGGCTTGAAATAAAGGCATCAATCAATTTCTCTGCATCTTTTTTATTTAGAAATGGTTGTACCTTGGCTATGTTTCTGAGGTGGAAAAATTATGTTATCGTCACCTTGTTAATGTGGGTCTTGCAAATGAAATTAAAAGCACTGCAAAGAGGCAGAGTAACATAATTTTCTTCACAGACTACTGGTTTCATGTACTACTCTATGGATATAGTGACAGTTTCAGGAAATATGACAATCTCATAAAAATTACCAACTACAGCTCTAAGTTACTGCTGCATACAGATCGCATTAATATAACAGCTAACGGCAGACATCTGCCACCAGGCTTACCTCAGATCAAAGCTGCTTTCAGCCTAATAAATGTGATACATTTGAAATACATTTCACTGATTATCATGCTTTTAATGCTGCTGCTCTGCCACAAATGTTTGAATTGTTCTTTGTCCAGCAAAGCTTTATGTAATAGTATTGTAGCTTGAGCTCATGTTAATGTAAAAATTCATCATCGTGTTCTTTTAAAGCTGTCTTACATATCTTTTTTCCTTTTTTGTATTCGTTCAGATCCCTCCCTGAGGAGAAGATAAAAGCCCATGTCATGTTGGAGCCGTGTTCACAAACCAACCTTGAGCAAAGCCCCAGTCCTGAGGCCCCCAATTCGGATGTCCACAGACAGCCAGCTGGCAACAACACCTCTGCCTCCCCTTCTGAGCCCCGTAAGAGTCGAGTTCGTGAGCGCAGACGAGAGGGTCGCTCTAAGACTTATGACTGGTCTGAGTTCAAAATGGAACAGACAGGAAAGCCCTTGAAGGAACGAGCAGACACAGTCGACCTCAGCTCATCATTCTCCACATCTCCCTCATACTGTTCTGCCTCTTCTTCCCCTTCCTCATTAGCGTCCTCTCCTGTCTCTACCTCCTCCCTCCAAACTTCTTCTGCATCAGGTGCTCACCCGCCTTCTACGACAGCAGAAGCAGAAAAGGAGAGTGTTAGGAGGGGTGTCCCTCCTCATGGCACAACCAGTGCAACCCACATGCCAAATACTGTTACTGTTACCATGACCTCCACGCTAAATACTACACCGTCGGTACAGCCATTGAAACCTGAATGCCAAGAACAAGGAAAGATGGAAGTAGACCACCCCGCGGCCATGCATACTGCTAGTGACGATAAGAAGGACAACAAAACCTCAGATGTCCAAGAAGAGATTGAGCAGCGCTGGCATCAAGTGGAGACAACACCATTAAGAGAAGAGAAGCAAGTGCCCATCGCCTCAGCTTCAGGAAACTCTGACAGATTGCCTGCACATGAACTCGCTGCGCTGCTTGACAAAGAGGTACGTTTCCTCAGTGTGGTTATTTACATATTTATTTACATATTTATGGTAATGGAGCATCTTGTGCCATCTGCTCATTATTTGCTGTTTTTCTCTCCTTGTTCAGTTGGGACAGAAGCAACAGGAGCTGGACCGACTACAGAAGCAAAACAGTGTTTTAAAAGAGCAGTTGGAAGATGCACTAGGGAGGGAACAAAGTGCCAGAGAGGGCTATGTGCTGCAGGTACCCTACTCACTATTCATCGTGCAAAATATAGCATTGCAACATGAAGAAATCTTGAGCATAAAAATGTTTATAATCGTATCAAGGTTTGCAAGATAGTATACATGTATTGGCCAAACGTGGCGCGGTAAATGTTATCAGCTGTGTGTAGATTGTATTTTACTGACTCATGATAGATCAGATTTATTTGTGGCTACTGTAACTTGGATAAAGTTCTACTAACAGGTGTGGGTGCTTATTCTCTGACACTGATATGCATGGTTGTGGTGTTCTTAGCATGAGTTTTCACTAACTGTTTTACGGAGTTTCACATCTCCTGGGAAAATAATTGATTTGATCTGATATGCTTAAGGTAAGAAACTTGATCAAGAAGCCTTGCGCTGTGCTTTTTCCTCTCTGTTCACTCGTGCTTCATCTGTGTGCCTTTTCCAAGCTTGATTTCTGCATGCTTTTTGGTGTCTCAGAATTGCATACTTTAACAAGTTGCTTTTTGACATTGTTCAGTTTTAAGTTAAACCACGATGTTTACACAGAGCCATAATTCTACTTTTTCATGTTTACTTTGCAAAAATGACTAAGATGGTCTGTTTGTTTGTTTGTTTTTTTTTAATTTTCAAATCAACCCACCAAGTTCTGTTTCTTTTTTTTTTTTCTTTTTTTTTTTTTTGTGGGGGGGGGTGTCATTTACATCTTTCAATTTCCAAGTCACCTCTGAAAAAGCACAGTGGAAGCTTGGGGAAAAAAAAGAAATCAAAATGAAAGGTTGATATCCAGAAAGGAGAAAACGTATTTTCCTGGTTACCCCGAGATGTGGTTCTCCGTATATGGTAGGGCAAGTAAGGTGAATTAATGAAACTGTCTCATCAATCTTTTTCAAGAGTGCAACACCCCCTTCCTCTTCACCGCACAGAGTGCCATGGCAACGCCTGCACAAGCTTAATCAAGATTTACAGGGCGAGTTGGAGACCCAAAAGCGCAAGCAGGACATGGCCCAGCAGCAGATTCGGACACTAAAGAGAAGCTACACAGAAGCCCAGGATGCTGTAGGCCAGCATGAGGCTGGCATTCAGGCACTGCAGGCTAAACTAGCATCTGCAATGGCTGAAATCTTGGCCAGCGAACAGGCTGTGGCCAGAATGCGCAATGAGCTCAAGCTTGAGCAAGAGCGCTCAAAGGAACAGGAGGAGGAATATAGCCGTAGTGAGGCCACAATACGAGCCCAGCTCAAAGACAACGAAGACAGACTCCGGGAAGTAGAGGCCAGCCTCTTAGAGAGAAACCAAGCCCTTAGGCACCTAGAGCGCCAGCAGGCCTTGCAACGGGACCACATGAGAGAAATACAGAGGCTGCAGGAGAGGCTGCAAGAAGTGACTGCTCGGCTAAGTGCTACTGAGGAGGGTCAGGCACTGAAAGAGGAGCGACTGAGGCAGGAGCAGAATAGTATGCTAGAGAGTCATGAGAGGGAAAGACAGAATCTGTGTAGAAGATTAGCTGAGGCTGAAACTGCAAAGATGGAGATGGAGAACCGACTGCTGGAGGCTGAGCAGCAGGTGGAGGCACTGTTAAGAGGGAGGCAGGCCTCTGGAGGAAAGGAATGCAGGGAGGAAATGGTGAAGTTGCAAGAGGAGGTGACCCAGAAGAATGACATGGTAGAGATACTGAGGGAGAGTGTGCGTAGGCTTGAAGAAGAGAAAGGCCATCTCACTTGCCGCTGTCAGGAGCTTCTTAACCAGATTTCCGAGGCAGACCGTGAGGTGAATAAGCTGCGCAATCGTCTGGAAACGGAAGAGGCTGATTACTACACCTTGGAGCACTCATATGAGAGAGCAACCCAAGAGTTTCAGAAAATGAGCCAGTTCCTGAGGGACAAAGAGGAGGAGATCCGGCAGACTAAAGAAATGTATGAGAGGCTGGTAGAACGCAAAGAAGAGGACCTGAAAGAGGCCCTTGTTAAAATGGCTGCACTTGGCAACAGCCTGGAAGAAACAGAACAGAAGTTGCAAGCTAAGGAGGAGCTTCTTTGTCAAATGAGTCAGAGTCTCTTAGATAAGGTTGAGCCCTGTAGTGCTGAAAAGGATCTGCAAGCCAAGCTTGTGGTTGCAGAGGACCGCATAGCAGAGCTAGAGCAGCATCTCAATGCCCTGCAACTGGGCTATGCTGACCTACGCATGGAAAGGCAGCATATCCCAGAAGAGAGCAAGACTGCAAGACTTAAAACATCAGTCTCCTTATCAGCAAACACAGAACTCCTACTTTCCTATGACCGTACATCCAGGACAGAAAATTTCCCAGATGATAAGGAGTCTCAAGCTAAGAGACCAAGAATACGTTTTTCCAATATTCAGTGCCAAAAATACATGAATCTAGAGGGCTTAGACACTACCCATGTCAGCAGTACCTTTGCAGACACAAGACAAAAAGTTAGTCAGGATGTAAATGAAGACATCCATCAAAGTGAAGGAAGCATCTCCTCTGATATCACCTTTTCCCATAGTAGTGACCCAGAGAAGTTTATCTCTATCATACATGCCCTAGAGACTAAACTGCTTGCCACTGAAGATAAACTAAGGAACCTCACACAGAATCTAGAAGAGCCACGATCCATCCAAGCAGAAGACATGCCTAAGATTGATCTAAAGATGACAGAAACAAAGCCTAACCTTGACAAGGCGTTTAGTTGTGGAGTTGTGGTAAAGAGTAGTGCTGCCAATAAGCATTATGCCAAGGCCCTGGCGTGTGTGGAAAATAGTCGAGAGAAAGTCAGGAATATTCTCAGAGGCTCTCATGATACCACTGATTCACAGCTGCACTCGTTGTCAGAGATAGAGAAAGACTTGTTTGATGCATCACTGTACATTCGACAGGGACAAAAGACACTGGAAGAGCAATCACCAGCTGTCTATCAAAATCAACCCCCAGAGACCCTAGATAAAGATGCTTTGCACCTCTTTGCCAAAACGTTATCGTTTGAGGCAGTCGTTTTGAACAAGATGGCTATGTTAATACAGACTTCAAAGTCTGACCTCCTACAGTCTCTTGCAGAGATATGGGAAGACATGGAGAATGTTAAAAGGGGTGACAGAGATTGCTTGGCTATTGTTTATGCTGATGTCTTGACCAGAAAGTTGATGTTAGAGAGTGCGTTTTGGAAAGACTTGGAGAAAGCTGAGACGGATGTTGCTAAATCCAAAGAGAGCAGTGTTACAGTTGATGTAGATGTTGATGCCACAGAAATCTTTAACACCTTCATTAAAGCAGAGCTAGCCTACTCTATTCAAAACCTTAAACTTTGCTATGAAGAGAAATTCAGAATACTGAAAAGGGAGTTGACTGAAGCCCATGATAACCTGCATCAAAGGGAAAAGGCTCTGAAAGCAATTATTGAAGCTTCCAAAAGGCCTGATTTGAAAAATGTAATAAAAGAAGTCAAAAATAACTTTGGGTTTGGTAAACAAAAGCAGTTAGCAGACATTCGCCCCCCTGAACTCGCTCCCTACATGGAGCAGATTGAAATGGAAGAGGCTAAAGGCTTGGCTGAGGAAATTGTAGATCGACACTTGGCTGGAGAAATGCCCTCTTGTGGTGTCGACTGTATTGAATCACTGCAAAATGCACATGACAACCTGGCTAATGAGCTTCAAAGACAAGCAGCAATCCTACATAAGTACGCTCAAGAGATAGAAAGTGGTGGAAACCATCCTGGACTGGCTAAAATGATCCATGCTCTGCTGGGACGCCAAACGTCACATCATTTCACAAGTACCTCTCTTTGTATGCGTGAAGCCCTGATCCAGGCTCAGGTGGCTTATGTGGCATGTAGGTTACGGGCCATGCATGAGCAAGATGTGGGCTGGTGCAAACAGACAGGTCAGAACATGGATGTTCTTGTCCAGCAGCATGCCCGCAATGTCAGTGCAATCCAAGAGAAATATGAGGCATCCTTGCAGGATGAGCGCCTGAACTTCACACAAACAGTGTCCACTCTCCAGAAGGAGAACAGCACACTGAAGAGTGAGATCAGCAAACGTATGAACCAGCTCTCCCAACAGCAGGAGCAACTGGCTCTCTTGGAGGAGAATTTCCAGAAGGAGACTGAAGAGCTGAAGCAGAGGCACAAGGAAGAGCTAAGCCGAGCAGAGAAAGGCCGTGCCTCAACAGAGCTGGCCCTCATGGAGACTACAGCAGACAGTCAACGAAAGCTAGAAGTTCTGCTGGTGGACATGGACACCATGGAGGAACGGCACGAGGGTCATGTGAGGAAACTAGAGGAGCAGTTTGAACAGCGGATCTGTGAACTCCAGCAAATCCACAAGCAGGAGATCGAAAAGTTACAGTCCCAGTATATGGAAAACATTCAGTGTATCCAAAAGCACCAACAGGACAAAAAAGGTCCTGGGGTTTCCCACTCGCCTCCTTGCGATGATGCCACTACACCGATGGAAGAGGAAGAGCAGGGGAAGGGGGAGGATGTACAGATTACGTCAGAGGTGGACTCCATGGTGATTCTAAAGGACCGTATCCAGGAGCTGGAGGCTCAGATGAGCACCATGAGAGACGAACTGGAGAACAAACACCTAGAAGGAGATGTGGCCAGCCTGAGAGAGAAATACCAGAGAGACTTTGAAAGTCTTAAGGTTTTTGCTCTTTCATTTTACCTTAGAGATAATTTTGATAAGTGAGAGAGCACTAGATAGTAAGATAGCTAAATAACCTGCAGCCTTTGTTCATCAATGTACTAATTTGCACCAAGTATTTGGAGTTGGGAAATGGTGTGATTTGAGATCATTTGTACATTTATGAAACTTGCAACCTAGATTATATCAGTTTACTTGCATCCCTAACTCAAGGGATGTCAAAGCCACTCGGCTGATCCATGACATTGGCTTTGAACAAAATATCTCAACAACTACTAGGTGATTGCCTTCACTGATCTCAGCTTTTGATTTACAGGCAATAGTGAGTCAAATGTATCATCTTTATCTTGTGAAATAGGTCCGCATCTACTAGATGGACTGGCACAGAATTTGGTACAGACATTCATGGCTACAGGGGATAAATCCTAGTGACTGTGGTGATGCCATGAATTATCCTCTAGTGCCACCATGTCAGTGGTTTCCAGTGAAATGTGTTATCAACTATCGGGTGGATTGCTGAGATATTTGGTCCAGCTGATCATGTTCCCCACAGAGTGAACTGTAGTACCTTTGGTGACTTTTCATCCAGCACCATGCAGGACAAAATTTCACTTTGTCCAGTACTTCATTTTATGACAAAATACTTGAAACTGGATGCTGCTTAGCACTCTGTGGTTCACAACTTTGGGTACTCAACATCAAAAATTAATCAGAAATTCTGAGAAATACTGATGCACAAAAAAAATGCTGGACCTGTGGATCAGGTTGGGACATCCCTAGTAGTTTTACATAATGAAGAAAAGCAATCTGTTGCAGGTTTCACTACTTCAATACATCATGACAATTAAAAGTGTAAAATGCCTCACTTGCCACCAACATTGCCCCCTCATTGGGCATTAACAGACATACCATTTCCCACATTCAGTAATAGAAGGAGGTGCAGTCTATTAATAACAAATGCAGCTTTGCTGGAATAGAACTTCACTGCTTTAACTCGCTCTCTTACTAACATAGCTCGGCTTTAGATCATAGAGAGCTTGCATGGCTTTTATCACTGATTTTGCATGATACACCATGTAGCCTAATGAACTATTAATAGATATTGCACTGAATCTTGAGTCACAAATTAGAATAAAGGTGGCAAATGAATTTCATGATAACAAACTGTTGATCCTTCCTTCCCCTAGGCCACTTGTGAGCGTGGCTTTGCAGCAATGGAAGAAACACACCAGAAGGTAATACAAGACCTCCAGAGGCAGCATCAGAGGGAGATTTCCAAACTTATGGAAGAGCGAGAGAGACTATTGGCTGAGGAGACTGCTGCCACAATTGCTGGTAAATAAAACTGCATCACCACGACTAATTGCTGTACTTTGAAGAGGACCAACACACAGTAATTAAATGCATGTGATTTATTTTAATGTAGCTATTGAAGCGATGAAGAACGCACACAAGGAGGAACTGGAGAAGACCCATCGTTCCCAACTGAGTGGAGTAAACTCTGACATTGATGAACTTCGCTCACAGTATGAGTACGTCTTTTGATGAGAACACAATACTATGTAACTGTCTGTGAATGAGAAGCGTGATATTCCCCATACAAGAGCTTACGTGTGCTTTTGCCTTTTTCTTTGATTTTAAAAAATGTAAAAATTCAGAGCATGCAGAGGTCAAGCTTGACAGTGAAACCCTGAAGACTAGATTCAGGTTTTAACTGATTTCAGAGGTTGAGAAAATGTTTTTTACTTCATAGTATGGTCTAGGTGGATGACCAGAGAATCCACATAGTTTGTTAACTCTGTGTTGCAGTAGTAACATGTGTAAGTACTTAGTCCTGTCAGCTTGTCTGAGGCTGATACACCAAAGCAACTTTTTATATAGCTCTTGGGAAACTCAATATCAAATCATGTGGGGATCAACTACTTCTAGGTTGGTTTGGTATACATTAGATGAGAATTTCAGTTGATACTGTGATGACCTGTCTGTCCAGAGAGGAGCTGCAGTCCATCCAGAGAGAACTGGAAGTTCTGTCAGAGCAATACTCTCAGAAATGTCTGGAGAACGCTCACCTGGCACAGGCACTGGAGGCCGAGAGGCAGGCCCTCAGGCAGTGTCAGAGAGAGAACCAAGAACTAAACGCTCACAACCAGGTTTGAATGCACTTACATGCATTCGTACATACATAAACATTTCTTGTCCACGGGTTGAAACATAACTTAATTCTGTCCAACAGGAATTAAATAACCGACTGACTGCAGAGATCACTCGGATGCGCTCCTGTTTCAGCGGTGAAACAGCGCTGTCTCCACTCACCCAGGGCAAAGATGTGTATGAACTGGAGGTATGTATAAACACACACACACACACGCATTCTTGTACTTCTGTTTTTAAGAGGACCCTCATTGACACAATGTATTCCCTAGCCCCTTACCCGAACCTTATCCATCGCGACTTAATGCCTAACCCTAAACCTTAGCCTAACCCTATCCTTAATCTCATTCTAGCCTCTAAATCCAAGTCTTAACCCTTGAACAGGCCTTTGAAAAAGTAAGGACTGGCCAAAATGTCCTCACTTTCGAAAATATGTTTTTGGTCCTCACTATGTAGCATGTACAAGTGCACACACACACTCACACTAAGGATTTGATCTGAAATCTTAAAGAGATTTTCTCTCCATCTTGTAGGTGTTGCTGCGAATTAAAGAGTCAGAGATCCAGTATCTTAAACAGGAAATCCACTCTTTGAAAGATGAACTGCAGTCTGCTTTAAGGGTGAGAAAAACTAAACTTTATGTAATACAAACAATGTTTCGAAGGTATGTACCTGTAATTTCTTCATGTCTTGTACAACATTAGAAAAACTAAGAGGAGGTGTCATTGGTTCCATTTCAATAGGACAAGAAATATGCCACAGACAAATATAAGGACATCTATACAGAGCTCAGCATTGTGAAAGCAAAGGCTGACTGTGATATCAGCAAACTGAAGGAGAAGCTGCTCATTGCCACAGAAGCTTTAGGCGAGAGGACTGTCGATGGGACGGTCACATCTGGATACGGTAAATGGGAAATGTTAATTTAATAATTATCACCCCCCCCCCACTGAAATAACCCATAATGTCTTACAACTCCAAAGTATTGTAAGCAATGATTTTTATGCCTCCGCACCATCAACAGTGACCAGAGGCATTATGTTTTTGGGTTTTCCTTCTGTCAATCTATCCCATTCCTGTGAGCGTGATACCTTGAGAATGCCTTGATGAATTTTTGTTTAAATTTGATGATTGTAAAGATCTGTGCTGCCAGGGGGGGATGTGTATGAAGCATCCATGTTTAGAATATGTAGCTTCTTTGCAGCAACATCCATGTTGGCTACATTTGAGTCTTGACAGACATGGATGTAAACTGTAACTGCAACTTGACTGGATTGCAGAATCATACAACCGCAAGGGAGTAATCCAAGTTTTTATTTACTTGACATGTGGATGTTTTTAATAAAACAGAGCAACAGCCATTCTGTTGCAACTCAATTTTAGTTTAGCATCTTTAACCCTTAAATGCATGGATGTTTCATAAACATTCCTGCATACAGTACCTCGGGTCTTTTGAGACCTGCCACTTTTACAAGGCAGATAAAGTCACATATTAACATGAATTGTAAACTACTATACTACTTTAGATTTATGATGATAAAGGCATCCCTTTGTGTTTTTAGATATAATGAAATCAAAAAGTAATCCAGATTTCCTGAAAAAGGAACGATCAACAACCTCCAAGCAATCAAGAGGTGTAAGGTCAAAGGTAAGTCTTCAATTTGATAAAATATTTTTTTTCTTCCCAAATTACAGGCTTTTTGTCTCTCATTCAGACATGCAGATGGCGTAAAATCCATGCACCCATAAACTACCATTTCAGTTTGCTTTGTAATGTGACTGTAAACTTTTGTCATGCAGACTTTTATGACTGTTAACTGTTGACACTCAGCCACCACATACTGTAGAAATGTCTTCCACAGTTGGTCAGTCAGGACGTTTTTACCGCAAGTCTATTGTCCTGTAAGTTTGTCATCTGTCTTGTTTTGTCCATCAGTCTGTCACTGAACAGGTCTCATGGGATAGCTGACACTCCCATTGTGGGGTGATTCCCCCCCAACCCCCGCCCCAAGATGTTCTGTAGGTATAGCATGATGTAGAGCAAAGCATGCCCTTACCGCCCCCGCATGATCCCCCCCCCCCCCCCCCCCCCCCCCCCCCCCCCCCCCCCCCCCCCCCCCCCCCCCCCGACCTGCACCACCAAAGCTGATTGTAGTGTCCACCCCTCAGTTGAATATCACAGGCGTGAACATTAGCAGTTTGCAGACTCTGTCTAAAAGCCTTTCCAGTTACTTTCCTCTCCCGTACTATGTTTGACATTTTGGGAGACTTAGTTGCTTTTTTTGGAGTGTTCAATGAGGAAATCAGTACCACTCTCACGTCTGTACAGTTAATATGAAGCTACAGCCAACAGCCAGTTATTTTAGCTTAGCATAAACACTGGAAACAAGGGAAAAAGCTGTAGCCAGGCTAGGTAAGAAAAAAAACCTGCCTGCCAGCCCCTCTAAAGCTCTCTGGTTAAAAGTCTCATTTGTTCGATTGATTCAAAAACCAAAGAGTAAAGCATCAATAATTGTGGTTATACAGTGGGTTAAACAAACAAGATGCAACATGTTAATTAGTGAGCTTTAGAGGTGCAGATAGGTGGATTTTGTTTTCTTTGCAGCTCCTCCGGCGGCAGCACAGCGTCTCTCCCTCTCCTCTCTCGCTGTGTGCACACAGGAGTTGGTGTCATCAAGATCCCAGGGTACATTTTTTGCATTAGGGAGCTGTTTAAATGTGTAAGTTGTGGTAGATTTTATTTTGTTGAACTATTAATATTGTGAACAGAATCTGAATCTCACTCTGGGTTACTGTTGTCGTTTACAAACTGAAGAAATGAGACATAATTTTTGTGTAGTTTTTAGTGAATATTTGAAGGCAAACTGTAAAACTATATTACATTTTGTTATAATTCTGTCTTCTTAAATTGATAATGAAATATATTTTTAAATAATTTGTCATATCGTCAAGAATATCGTGCAAAAATACCCTGAGATGTTGTGATATTATTTTAGGACCATATTGCCCATCCCTATGTACAGCCAAGAAAAAGACAGTGAGGATAATTTCTGATATCATCCCATATCAGTTGCAGACTACAAAATCAATCAAATCAAAGCTGTCTTGTGACGGAATTCGTGATATCAGCAAATATATCTTTAACAATCAAAACATGACAATCTGTAACCATGTATTTATCACAGACTTTATTTCAGACATGTAACCAAAAACCTGTTAAAAAAAAAACATTAACTTACAGACAAGGGAACCAGATGTGCAAACCTGCGATTAAGTTCTGGGTTTTAGGACTCATTCCCTCACCAAATTTCTGTTTATTTTTTGGGTCTGCAATAATAGTCTGAATATCTCAGATCATTTCATAGAGGAATGAGAGTGCTCGTTTTCGAGTGCTCATCTCCTATGTTCCATCTGTTTATGTAAAAATCTTTTCTTTGACTGTTGTCTTTTGTCTGTTTGTGAGTTTTGGATTTCTTTGTGCACCAGTAGGTCCTCTGTGTGGCATGACCATATTCCAGCATAACCACTTTTTCCTGTAGACCTCACATTGAGATTAACGTGTGTCATTCAGATCATAAAAATGTCCGGGATTGTGTTGACTTAACTGTTTTGTGATGTCTGTGTGTTTTTGTTTTTAACACTCTCCTCTGCCCACATGAGCCTTTTATCGTCTATAGATAAATAATGAATGACTTTATCTTTAACAGAGCCTGAAAGAGGGACTAACCGTGCAGGAGCGTATGAAGCTTTTTGAAGCAAAAGATTCCAAAAAGATTTGAATATCAAGAATTTCTTTTCTGTTTCCTGACCTCGGCATTTGGTCAGACTGCTACGGCTGTGCCAGCATCAGCTGAAGACTCCTATAGGATCACTCTTAAAGATCTATCAAGGTCACTTTGAAACCTGGACCTGCTGCTCCCATGCCCCTGATAAGTTGTCATATTTTTGTTTGTTTTTTTTAATCAATGGAAAAAAGTTTTACTGAATCAATCCTGTGTAAGGTTTCTTTAAAAAAATTCTTAGATGTTTAATCTGTCCAATATGGAGACGTGTTAAATAAGCTGTGAGAGGGATACATGACAGCATTTTTATTGATCCTCCAAAATGCCAAAACAGACAGCAATACACAGTATGAATAATATATATTTCCCAATATGAATTAAGTATCTGCTGTATTTTATTATTGTTACAGTTTCTATATCTAATAATTTTTAATGTGTTTAATGTTGCACCAGTTCTGTTGTACATAACTACTGGATATATGTAAGAGTATGGTTTGCTATTGATTGTTGGGGCATCTGCTGTACTATAACTATGGTTTGATTGATAGTGGAAAACAATGTGATGCTTAACTTGCTTATGTATGAGAGTTTTATAAAATGGAGTGTCTGTGTGTGGGGGGGGGGGGGGGGGTAGTGGGGTGGGATTGCACTTATCACTTGACTACTTGAGGAAGCTTTTTTATTATTTGTCTCAAATTTGGTGTAGTGACTTCAACTCAATTATTGCAGTGCAACCAAACATCCTGACTTCTGTCAAATTTAGTGAACGACCGTGACTTGTTAGTGATACTGGATTTATTCTCAAGTTTCTTAAAACCTGGATTTGTGTTTGCTCAGTTTAGCCTTTGGTGTGAGAATATCATCTCAGAAAACCCGGAACTATTTAGGACTTTGCATGACTGTACAGTATCATTTGAATTGCAGAATGATCATGTTGCCTCATTTTCCTACTTTATGCTTTAGTGTGAAACTCTTAACACTAATAAGCTTTGCTTTGCAAGTCCTACTGTTTAGGTGTTGAGATTGAAATGTTTTACTGTAAGCGGCAGTCTTGAAGCACTTGGCCCAATCCCTGACCTCTCACTGAAATCTAGTCGTGCCTCAACTGAGTGAAGAATATAAACATCCATGAAACCTGTGCAGCTATGGATACACACTGTATAGTATTCAAACCACGCCTTGTATATATATGTATGCCACACGGAAGACTTCTGTGTTTTGTTTTAAACTTGTACCTTGCTCACTAGCTCTATATGAAATATATATGAATATTTTTTATTTTCATTTGAATGTATAACGTCAATTAAATGAAGTGTTTGGAAATGTGGGAGTAATATTGTTTTCCTCAAACATCCGTTTATTAGCAAACTGACATGTCCTGAAATAATGGAAATCAACCTGATCAAGTAAGTTTGACTAAATATGTTGTCTAAGGCAGAGATTTGTTTCAGGGATACTATTTGAAAATGTGAACTAACCTTTAATCCTTACCTAAAAACTGTTGAGTCTACAGTAAGACTGCAATGAGGACAGTTAAAAGCTCCAATTAAAGGCATACTTCACTCCCCAAATGACCATTGGTATATCTGTTACTCACCCCGTGCTATGTTGAATTAATGAAGAACACTTTGTTTTTCTTGCATGCGCCAACAGTGATTGAAGAAATCCAAAAACTGAGAAAATTATAGATGAATCAAAGTCATAGGCGACTGCAAGTCACAACAGAAAAGCATCACTTTACAAGCTCTCACACAACTTCTGCAGTATAATCCAAGTCTCATTTATAGCCCTTTATGATGAGGAAGTGAACTGAAACTAAAATTTTCTGTGCCCTCCTCAAAGCCAGACTTCATTGACAAAAACAGTTCTTTTACCTCACTGAACACAGGAGCTGCTGGTCTACCACTGCCTCGATCAGCTGGTTTGTTTGTGTTATTGTGTGACTTTGGTGTTTTAAAATGTCAGCTCATATTCACCAGAGTTGCCCAATAACACAAACTACCTACTGATCAATCCGCTGATAGACCAGCAGCTTCTGTGTTTAGCGAGGTAAAAGAACTGTTTTTGTCAGTGGAGTCTGGCTTTGAGGAGAACACAGATACTTTTCCATTCAGTTCCCTGTCGGAAAGTGCTGTCTGTTTGGGAAGTACTGAGCCACAGGCCTCGATACATGAGACTTGGAATATACTGCACGAGTTGTGTGAGAGCTTGTTAATGAATGTTTTGATATAGTTTTGCCGTTGTTAAACTTTGACCCCTATATTGGGATTGTTTGTTCGTTGTCAAGGCATGTGAGAGACACACAGTTCTCTTCACAAATTCAACCTAACAGGGTGAGTAATTGATATATAAATAATCATTTGGAGGTGAAGTATTTTATTAAATGCAACATCCACAAACCCTGTAGACACTTAGTGACTGAGTCATAGAAAAGTGTGTTTTTGTATTTATTGCATCTTAGTTTATATTTTCTCTACACTTAACCATAGACTCTATACGTTTTTATACAGTCTATGGACTTAATAGCAAAAAAAAAGATAATTACATTGAATTTTTATGGTACAGCTACTCAAAACACGTGTCAAAATATTTCAAAGAACCGCACAGACATTTTACAAGCAACAGAAATGTAATTACACTGAAATGATGAAAGTTGCCAAGTCTTCATTTTTCACATGGAAACCAACTGCATGTATCACAGAAGCAATGCACACTACAATGAAGAGGTCTTGAAAAGCTCCTCAGGAAAAGTACCCTGCTGCATCGTGGGAGCACATTTGACTTGGGCAGCGATGATGGTAAGTCACTTTGAAGCTTTGCAACACATTGTTTAGAAACAGCTAACCATGTATCCTTTTCAAAATGCAACAACACAGTCATTACATATTGTTTTTTGTATTGTCATTACTGATTAATGCCTGTACTATAATTTCCTATTATATTTATTGGTTATTATTTTGTGTTGTTAACAGTCTGTAAATTGAAATGTTACTGAAACAATTCACTCTAGACTTAGCAGACAGTGAAATGATAATTACGGGCATGTTGACATAGTTAGCATTTGGTCTAGCCAAGTAGCCGTGCCAAGTCATGTTCTCCACCTCCTCCTCCCTCCTCTTCCTCCTCATTGTCTTTTAAAGCATCTATCAGTCTGACCCAGAAAGCACCCTGCTCCTGTGGATCCTCAGGCCACAGCAGGTAGGTCTTCCTACGTACGATCTTGCGTAAGCGTGTGTAGGGAGACAGACAGTGTTCAGGTATCTCCTCCAGGAACACCAGCAGCAGAACATCACTGCCATCACATAAAAGCCTCAGACTGGCCAGCTGAAACTCCACAGAGCACCACTCGCTTCGTAGGAAGTGACGTGTCACCACACAGATGGTGTGGCGAGAGCCGTAAATGGCCGCCTCGATGTTCTCCAGAACAGCAGCGCCAGGGCGGAAGTCTCTGTGGTGGAGGCACAGCCTGAGCCTGGGTGCACCAGCAGCAGGTCTCTCTAGATTTGGCACCAGCCGTCCCATCACCCAGGCCTCATCTTCAGAGCTGTAGGAGATGAATGCATCATACTGGAATTTGGCCCCTGCTGCCCCCCTACGCCCACGTATCTTTGCCCTGAGGATGAGCAGCAGGTAGCGCAGAGTGGGGCCCTGTGTGTGCCAGGCCAGACACACGAATACAAACAACACGTCCACTACAGAGCAGCCGATGAAGAGGTGCAAAGAAGCTTGTTCATAGGAGCAGGCCTTATCATCAAACTGCCACATGTAGGAAGAGCTCCTGTTTTTGTTACACCGCAGTTGGTACAGGTAGGACACCTGGAGGGAATTCAAGAAAACTACTTTTAGTTGGTTTATAACATGCGTATATAAATATTTTTCACAGTGTCTGCAGCTTCTGTTACCTGTGTTTGAGTGTTGTGGATGGCCCAGTTCTTGAACCAGGCGTTATCACAGGTACAGGTAAGTGGGTTTTCACTAACGTCCAAAACACGTAATCTGGAAACAAACAAACATACACCAAGGTTGCTGGTTTTATTACATTTAAATACACAGCCAGTACAGGTAGAGTAAACACAGAAGCTGGCCTAAGTTCCAGTTTGTTGCTCCGTTAATGTGGATGATGTTGTGATGTTTTACAGTGTGAAAGTGACTACATTTACATGCACACTAATATTCCACTATGTTTCTGAATATGATAGTGTTCTGACTTTGCTATAGGTCATGTTAACAAAATATTATGCTTGGATATTCCAAATTTGATCTTATTCCGAATGTAACATTTTCTGATGAAGACGTGGGATATGCTGATATTATTTGGATTTTAGATACTGTCTTTGGAAATGTGTACAGCGCATTCGGAATATGCATCTCACTTAACCCCTCTCTAAGTCCCACCAACCCCCGGACGCAGACTGACAGATCATAGAGTAGCATTGGGCCAGCTCAGACCACGGTCCGACAACAACTCAGCTGTGCTCCATTGACTCTGATGCAATCAGCTTAGATTTCCTTCATTTTCAGGCTGGTTTTGTGGATTTGGAGCTAAATGTTGTGTCTGGGGCACGTTGTGTATTTATGATACACGTTACCTGGAGAGGTCGTAAAAAGATATACGTTTTTTCCCTGTTCCAAAACCAAAGTCAAACCCTGAAAAGTGTAGGGTTAGCTAGCTAGCTACTGAAGATATGGCCTACTGAATGTATACACATGCTGCTTTTGCTTTTTAATGATTATAACAGTGAAACAAAGACCGACCCTGCTGTACAGGAACCAGTGAAGGGAAACTGTGCTGATATTCAACCAGCTCTGTGTCATCGCATTGTGGACAGATGAATACACTGGCTTCGTCCGAAGCGATGTCCGGGCGATGGCGTCAGGAAGGGGGGCGAAGCCAAACACTGTTCATCTGTACACACTGTGATGCCACACAGCTGGTTCAATATCAGCAGAGTTTCCCTTTAAATTCATTGTCTTCTGTGGCGATCAGCAGTGATGTGGTGGTTCACTTTAACACTGTGATCTGTAGCCTATAGTTCGGCTTTAGCTTCTAACTATCTTTGTCTTTTTAACCTGTTGTTGCTGCTGAGTCATTTTGACATCCTGGATATATCCTTCAAACACAGACTGTAGACCCCTCTGTCTGCTTCTCTCTGGAATCACTCTTTCATTTTTCCAAAAATATGATCATATTTCTTCAGGCAGCGCAGTTAGTTACAGTGTGGGTTCCATGCTAACTCCGACAGCTTGACTGACCACCACAAAGGGGCGGGGCTTAGCAAAGGGTCAACTGGGGCATTTACAGCAGTTTACAACAGACGGCCACATGCCTGTTTATGGTCAGCTCTGTGCATTGTCATGGATTCATTGTACACAAACAAACTCAAAAACCTGTTTTGATGCAAAGAAGCTAAATGGCACACATTAGCCACAGCTGTTCCACTGTTTCATATTTTAGCAACATAAACAACATGAAAGGGCACCTTAATCGGAGTATGCACAGCTGCATGTAAACAGGAATATTAACTGAATATTAATTTTCATTATCCAGGTAAACAGCAGGAATATTGTCTTTTTTGGAACAAGGGAAAAAAATGGAATATTTTGTGCATGTAAATGTAGTCAGTGTCTTATCGTCTAACTTCTGGCAAGAAAGCAAACGAGTATTTCTCAAAATGTTAAACTTTTCTTTCAAGAGCTGATTGCTAGATTGGTAGCTCCTCTACCTTGGCAGAGAATCCAGCGTCATTTTGTCCACAGTGTGCAGGTGGTTAAACGGGAGTTTGAGAGTCTCCAGTGAATTATCTGGAGGCATCAGGCTGGCAGGCAGAGCATCAAGGTCTGCCCTGAAAAGAATCAACCTCTTCAGACTTTTCAGAGGGGACAACACTGCACTCAGGTTGGTTGTTTTCATAGTCACTCCACCTATGTACAGCTCTTTCAAGTTGACCAGAGGAACAAGGGCGTCAGGACTGAAGTCGAGCACAATGCTGTTCCCAATGTGGAGTGAGGTAAGTCGACCTTGACCTTGGAAAAACTGTGACCCAATGACACCAATGCCTTGACCTCCAGGCCCCTGGTAGTTCATCTCCAGAAACTCCAAATTTGACATGGAAGATAGATAAAACAGATAAAAAATATGTATTTATACACAAAGTGCATCACTGTGTATAATAACTAAAATATATCATACCTCCAGAGAAGTAAGGTTGATGAAAGGAGCTTCGTTGGTTTTAAAATGCAGGCGGTTGTTGTACAGAACTAATTGCTTCAAATTGATCAGGCCTGATAGAATATATGGTGTCAGCCTCTTCAGGCGATTCCCG